CTTAAAGTGATTACAAACAATATATAAGGCATCATTAATATATAATAAGAGGCAAAGCAATTTTACCATTTTTACAGAATGTTAAGACAACAATATACCAGGACTATCAGAATTTTATAAAATTTTTAGAATATTTATATCTATATAAATTACATGTCAAAAAAGTATCAATATATCACATTGTAAACAATAATGGTAGTTCATCTAATCAGTTATAAAGTGATCATTTAAAAGACTTTAAAACAAGGGACTGGGGTTGTGGCTCAGTGGTTGAGTGCTTGCCTAGCATGTGAGGCACTGGGTTCGATTCTCAGCACCACATAAAAATACATAAATAAAATAAAAGCATTGTGTTCATCTATAACTAAAAATATTTTTTAAAAAGACTTTAAAACAAATAGATACTTAAATGATCCTTAACACTTTTAAAACTCAGTTTCCTAATTAATCAAAAATTTAACAAAGCAGAAAACACAAAATTATCTTGATAAAACACAAAATCTTTGTTTTTTAAGCCATTGCTTTACAAATTTTACTGAGCTAAATAGCATTTAAGAAAATCTTGTTTCTTTAAATGTGAAGAATTAGATTCCTAGTTTTATATCAGTTACATACAATTTTGATCTTAGAAAAATCTTATAAATTTTTTTAAAATTATAACCAACTTGATCACATATAAATTTTCCTTTATAACATTTCCTCTTCATAAACCTTCTACGACTTGGTAGACCCTTTGGGTTTTGCCCTATTTTTCTTTCCATTTTGGAAGAAATTTTACTTTCCGACAAAAAAAAAAAAAACTTTATTTACCAAACAAATCTTTTTCTTATCACATAAAAAAAAAAAATTCTCACCCAAAATACAGCTCCATACTCAAAATTTATTTGCTGGTTTATTTCCACCTCATTTTTTTGTTTTTTGGTTTTTCTTTTCTTTGTTGTTGTTGTTGTTGTTTTTCTTAACTATGTAGTTTTGAAAAACTCCTTAAAAGAATTCTGAATTTGCACAAATTACCCATTCTTTTAAAAACATTTTTTTAGTTGTATATGGACACAATACCTTTACTTTATTTGTTTATTTTTATATGGTGCAGGGGATTGAACCCAGTGCCTCACATATGCTAGGCAAGTGCTCTACCACTGAGCCACAACCCTGTCCCCAAATTACCCATTTTTAAGAAGATAAAATACTTTATGCTTTTCCAGTTTTCTTATTGAAACATAGCTTAAATTCTTTTTGTGTTCTTTGCCTATAGAATTGCAAATGTTGATTAGAATTTTAACTCTTATTAACCTTATTTTTTGTAAAGATGCAGGAAGAAAACAATTTTAAACTTTTAAAAAATATACCAATTATTTATGAAAATGCATTTAACAGACTCAAATATGTTGTCTTCAAGAAACCAAGGTTACTTGCAATTGATGTTTTAGTATTTACACTTACAGATGATTCAGATGCTTTATATATTTATAAATATCTATTCATTTACACTTGCCTATTTTATCTGTTCTTAACCATTGCCTGAACTGTCCTTGAAAAATTTGAGGCATTAAACAAAGCGAGGTAGTCATCATCTAACCATTTTTTTAAGGATGTCTTTATCTAAGCAAGAGAGCACTAGAAAGTTAAAAACACATGGATATTTCACTGATCTCAAGGCTCCGTTGTTTTATCAATCTAACAATGTTAAAAAGTAAAGGTCCAGGACTGGGGATGTGGCTCAAGCGGTAAGGCGCTTGCCTGGCATGCATGCAGCCTGGGTTCGATCCTCGGCACCACATACAAATAAAGATGTTGTGTCCGCCGAAAACTAAAAAATAAATATTAAAAAAGTTCTCTCTCTTCTCTCTCTCTCTAAAAAAAAAGTAAAGGTCCACCGAAGACCAAAAGGCCAAAGAGGAGGCTTGTTGTTCAGATTTAAGTTAACATCTTTCCCTATCTTTGTCAGTAGAGGGAGACACCAATACAAATGGAAATTTCTGCTACACGGAGTTTTAAAATGGTGCACTGCAATGTCGGAAAGCCATTTGGGGCCTTTAGCTCACCTTCCCCCCCCCCCCCCCCCCCCCCCCCCCCCCCCGCACCCCCGCCTCATTACTAGCAGTTGAACCCAAGGACATTCTATTACTGAGCTACTTCCCCACTACTTCCCCACCCCCTTCTTAAAATGTTATTTTAATTTTGAGACAGGGGTCTCACCATGTTCTGCCCTCAAATTTGCAATCTTCCCACCTTAGCATCTGTAATAGCTGGGATTGCAGGCTTACACCACTGCACCCTGCATACAAGTAGTTTCTGATAAATGAATGTGCTGCTTGTGTCAGCAGCAGCCCGGCATGCAAAACCTCTTTTTACTCTTCTAGTTTAACACACAATACAGACAGTCCTGGATTTGTAATGGTTTGACTTACAATATTTTGACTTTAATTTTGATCTTTTCCCAGGCTAACAATATGCAGTAAGATACTATTTTATGCTGGGCAGTAACAGTAGCTTGCAGATCACAGTCACTCCAAGAACCCAAGGAGAAACAACCAAGGCTGTATGTGAATGTGTTGCTCAGTTAGGATGTTCAATAGGTCGGATGTATTCAAGGCATTTTCAACTTAAGTATTTTCTGTTTACAATGAGTTTATCAGAATGTATTCACATAAAAGGCAAGGAGCATTTGTATTTGAATAAATGTCAGGAAAATCGCATATTTTAGGGGCTGGGAGGCTGGGGTGGGAATAGGGGTTTAATTTGCAGTCATGTCAGAAGTCATTTGTCCCAGGCTCATTGCTTTACAGAGGAATCTGTGTAATTATCATAAGCAAAGGGCACACACAAGTCAAAGGCCATCTGAACTGAAAATGTTTAAGAATTTGATGGGTTTTGATGTCATTGCTGCTTTTTGTTTTGTAAAAAGATAGCAACCTAATGCACAGATTTAAGATGTTAATCATGATTTTACTGAAGAGCATTTGCCCACTGTCTTTCTAGTATTTCGAGTTACATTCATTCCTCTCTGCTAGCTTGTCCCCATGGCAACAGCACCCAGGCACCATTTTGCAGGTTTTACATGTTAATTTAAAGCATCAATGCAATTTTTGCATTGTTGTTATTCTTACTTATGCCAAATTAGAAAAGTTAAGAACAAAATGATATAAACAGTAGGGAACACTTCCAAATTAATTTTATGAGGCAATATCACCATCACTCTGATAGCAAAGCAAGACAAAGATTCCACAAGGAAAGAAAAAAACACAGGTCAATATCCCTGATGAGCAAACTGAATCCAACAGCATACTAAAAAAGGATCACACACCATTACCAAGCGGGATTTACCTCAGGGATGCAAGGATGGTTTCACATAAAAAAAAAAAAAATCAATTGTAACACATTAACAGAATAACATATTTTAAAAAATGATCATCTCAATAGATGCAGAAAAAAAAGTATTTGATAAGATTCAATACCCTTTTTTGATGAAAATTCTCAGCAACTAGGAATAGAGGAAAATTACCTCAACCTAATAAAGTCCATGTGTGAAAAGCTCATAGCAAATATTGTACCTAATAATGGAAACTGAAAGTTTTTTCACTCAAGAATAAGGCAAGGATCCCACTGATACAATTTATATTCAACATAGTGCTGTAATGCCTAGTGAGAGCATTTAGGGAAGCAAAAGATTTTTTAAAAAAATCCAAGTTAGAAAGAAATAAGCAAAACTGTCCATTTGCAGATGACATGTTGTTACATACAGAAAACCTTGAAGACTTCACAAAGATGTTAAATCTAATAAATTTCATACATTTATAAGATACAAAATCAATATACAAAATAAATTGTTTCTAAACACTAATAACTACCTGAAAAGGAAATCAGAAAAMTATCCCATTTATAATAGCTTTGAAATAATGAAATACTTGATTAAAACTTAATTAAGGAAGTGAAAGACTTACACATTGAACACTGAAGAATTGATCAAAGAGTAAAGAAGACACGAACAAATAGAAAGGCATTTTGTATTCATAGATGGGAAAAATTAATAGTATTAAAATGCCCATAATACCCCAAGTAATCGCAATGCAATCCCTACCAAAATTCCAATGGCACTTTTTTTTGTTGAAATAAATTTATTAAGAAACAACTCAGAAGAATAGGAGAAAGGACAGAGGAGCAGGGCAGCAGGGAGTGACTCAAGGAGAACAGTCTCTGATATCTTCTGCAGGTGGGGTAGAGGAGACTCCTGATGTCCAAGTGGATGCAGAAGTGCTCTTAGCTAAAACCTGGGCAGAGGAACCTGAGGTAGTTGGCACATGTTGCTCCTGCAGCTGTTCAGAGTCCACATGACCGATGCCCACACAAGGTGTCAGAATCCACAGAGCACAGGTTTTCTGAATGTGCTCTGGTTTAGTCTGGTCACCTCTCCCCTTCATTGGAGCCACATTATGAACCTGGCAGGTTTCTGCCCTTTTACATTGGAGCCACTTTCCTGTTGACATACGGCATGCAATAGCACAGTTGAAAGAGACAGGTAGCAATCCTCCCAGTCACCTGCTTCCAGAACTTTCCAATGGTATGGGGTTGCCCAAAGWCCAACTAGGAGGCTAAATCAGTATGTGGGTCCTTGCAGGAGGGTAGTGGAAATGGATGGCAGGCTATCTAGCCCTTCTGATGCACTTCTGCCCTGACTGCTGGGCCTCCTCAGGCAGCAGAGGCTCACAGGGCAAGGGGAGGGGGTGAAGGGCAAGCTCTCTGGGACACCTCTTTGGGAGGACAGGGGAATTGGAAAGATCCACGGGGCATGAGCGAGGCTTAACCCTCGGAGGCACAGGCTTCCCCTGGAACATGCAGCCTGCCCCCTGGCTTTTCTGGTGCTCTAGTATAAGGTAGATAGCCATGGCTTCATTGAACTTTCTCCTGGCCAGAGACACACAGGTATTGCGTAGATCATAATCCATATCAAACATTACTGTCAGTTTTTTTGGGGATCTGGGTTTTGGGGAGGGCCTTACCATAATCATGAGGTAAATACTGCTCACCCTGTATCAGCCATGGGTGCTGAAGGATCTGCTTGGCTGTGGGCCGCTTCCTGGGGTCCAGGGTCAGTATTTGGCAGGTGAGTATTTGTGCTGCTACAGAAACACAGGGAGGGATGTGGTAGGTTCCAAGCACGATCTGCCTCAGCACCTCCTTAGCAGTAGGTCCCATAAATGGGCACCTCCCTGTCAACATAAAATACAGAATGACACCTAGGCTCCAGATGTCCACTGGGGGCCCTTCATATGCTTGCCTCAGGATAATTTCAGGGGCAAAGTGTGAGAGAGTGCCCCAGAACTTGTGCAGTTTCTGCCCAGGTGTGACTGTGGTGCTGAAGCCAAAGTGAATAAGTTTAATGTGGCCTCTGGCATCCAGAATGATGTTCTCTGGCTTCAGGTCATGGTGCATGATGCCCTTGTCATGGCAGTAGCCCATGGCACATACTATCTGCTGGAAAAGTCTGCAGGCCTCTTTCTCCTGCATGTCATGCTGTGGGACATGGTCCAATAACTGTCCCAAACCTGCGTGCTCCATCACCATATAGATATTTCTGTGGGTGTCAACAACCTGAAATAACTGAATCACATTGGGATGCTCCAGGCTCCTCATCATATCTGGTTCAGAGAGGACTGGGAGGTTCTGCACTGTCTTCGGCAAGACTTTCACTGCCACCTCTGCCCCCATGGGCCAATGGTGGGCTAGTTTTATCTGGCCAAACCCACCATGGCCAATATCCCTCAGGACTTCATGCTGGTCCCTCAAGACTGCCTTCTTGCAGGAACTGGGCCCTTGAAACATTATACTAGTCTCATTACTCTGGCTATATATCCTAAGCAGGAACACCACCTAAGGATGCTAGCTAAAACAAAACAAAACAAAAAAAAAAAACCAGACCAAAACAACAAATCCAAATCAAAAACACAAATAGGACAAAATAACAAATCCAAATCAAAGAACCAATATCCAACCATTTATTGAATAGGCTATCTTTTTCTCCATTGTGTATTCTTGGCACCTTTGTCTAATGTAAGATGACTATATTTTGTGGGTTTGTCTCTCTGTGTCTTCTATTTTGTGCCATTGGTCTATATGTCTATTTTGGTGCCAATACCATGCTGTTTTTGTTACCATTGTTCTCTAGTATAAGTTTAGGATATTGTGACACCTTCTGCTTCACTTTTCTTGCTAAAGATTGCTTTGGCTATTCTAGGTCTCTTATTTTTCTAAATGTATTTCACAATTGCTTTTTCTATTTCTATGAAGAATGTTGTTGGGATTTTAATTGGAATTGCATGAAATCTGTTCAACAGTTTTGGTAGCATGGCCATTTTGCCATTAGTGTGACCATTAATTCTACCTATCCAAGATCATGGGGGATCTTTCCATTTTCTAAGGTCTTCTTCAATTTCTTTCTTTAATCTTCTGTAGTTTTCATTGTAGAGGTCTTTCACTTTGTTAAATTGATTCCCAAGTATTTTTTGAGACTATTACGAATGGGGTAGTTTTCTTAATTTCTCTTTCAATGGATTCATCCCTTATGCATAGAAATAAATTTTATTTATGGGTATTGATTTTATATTCTCCTACTTTGCTGAATTCATTTATTAGTTCTAGAAGTTTTCTGGTGGAATTTTTTGGATCCTCTAAATATAGAATCATGTCAACAGAAAATAGAGATAGTTTGAGTTCTTCTTTTCCTATTTATATCGCTTTAATTTCTTTCATCAGTCTTATTGTTCTGGCTAGAGTTTCAAGGACTATGTTGAATAGAAGTGGTGAAATGGGGAGTCCCTATCTTGTTCAGCTTTTAGAGGGAATGCTTTAAGTTTTTTCTCCAGTTAGAATGATGTTGGCCTTGGGTTTAGCATATATAGCTTTTACAATGTTGAGGTATATTCCTACTATCCCCAGTTTTTCTAGTGTTTTGAACATGAAGAGGTGCTGTATTTTGTCAAATGCTTTCTCTGCATCTATTGAAATAATCACAGTTCTTGTCGTTAAGTCTGTTGATGTGATGTATTACATTTATTGATTTCCGTATGTTGAACCCACTTTGCATCCCTGGGATAAACTCCACTTGATCATGGTGCACTATCTTTTTAATAAGTTTTTAAATGTGATCTGCCAAAATTTTATTGAGAAGTTTTGCATCTCTGTTCATCAGGGATATTAGTCTGAAGTTTCCTTTTCTTGAGATATCTTTGTTTGGTTTTGGGATCAGAGTGATACTAGCCTCATAGAATGAGTTTGGAAGGATTCCCTCCTTTTGTATTTCATGGAATAATTTGAGGAGTTTTGGTATTAGTTTTCCTTGATATCAGGGTTATTATTGATATATGATTTGTATTCCTGGTCATTTTGGCTTATTTTTGCTTTTTGACTTGACTTAGTTTCTCTTTAGATTGACCTTTTCTTTAGTGTAGCTCCTCCCTTTGTTGGTTTTCATTTTTTTTTAAATTTCCTCCTTGTGGAATATTTTGCCAAGAATGTTTTATAGTTCAGGCTTTCTAGTGGTGAATTCTTTTAACTTTTGTTTATCATGAAAGGTTTCTATTTCATCTTCAAATCTGAAGCTTAATTTCACTGGATATAAAATTCTCAGTTGGCATCCATATTCTTTTAGAGCTTGATATATAATATTCCAGGACCTCCAGGCATTGAGGGTCTGAATTATGAAATCAGCTGAAATCTGAATTGGTTTCCCCCTATATGTAATTTAATTTTTTTCTCACAAACTTAAAAATTATATCCTTATTCTGTATGTTATTCATTATCAGCATACTGGTTCCTTGGTGTGAGTCTGCTGTAAGTTTGTACATTTGGGGTCCTGTAAGTCTCTTATAGTTAATTTTCCATTTCATTCTTTAGATTTGGGAAATTTTCGGGTATTATATCTTTGAAAAGACTGTGCATTTCTTTGGTTTGTATCTCCATGCCTTCATCTGTTCCAATAAATCTTAGATTTGGTCTTTTCATGTTATCCCATATTTCTTGGAAGTTCTGTTCATAGTTTCTTACCATCTTCTCTGTATGGTTGACTTTATTTTCAAGAGTTTATATCTTGTCTTCATTGCCTGAGGTTCTGTCTTCTAAGTGGTCTAGTCTGCTGGTGATACTTTCCACTGAATTTTTAATTTGTTTTTTTTGTTTCCTTCACTTCAAAGATTTCTGCTTGATTCATTTTTACAATCTCTGCCTCTTTATTGAAGTTATCTTTTGCTCCCTGTATTTTCTCTCTGATACCATTCTTTATTTCAAAGACCAGCCTAACTATGTATCTTATAAACTTCTTTTCTGTCATTTCTTCTGCTGTGTTGTGTATGAATTCTATTGTTGAGACATCTTGATTTGTTTGAGGAGCTTTGTTCCTGTGTTTTTTCGTGTTGTTTGTGTGTCTTCCCATCTAGCAGTATGGATCTGAGGAAATACAGTTTCTACCCTGTGGTCTTATAGTGTCCCTGAAGACTTCCAGTACCTCACCTTTAAKGGGGAGACCAATATTAACAGTACCAAATGCAAACAATATATACCTTTAAACCAAATAGATCCCATTAAGGCATCTACAGTTTTGTTATAATAACCAGAAATGATGTATTCAGTTATTGTCTACAATATAAACAGTAAGTTTGGTAAAAGGTTCTACCATTTCTCATGATAGACAATGAGGGAACAGAAGTAATGTAAGGTGTGGTGTTTATGAGGGAGAAGGAGAGAAGATAGAAGTAAAAATTTTTAGTAAGACCGAGGGAATAATTAATAGAGGTTGGCTGTTAGTATGAGATAATTGAGAAAGAAAATCCAGTGAGAGAGCTAGGCGAGAGAAAAAATATATACAGATTTAAAAAAGAAAAAAAGTAAAAATATAAGGATATACAACAAAACTGTAATATACTACTCAGATGTACCATTCCTCAATAAATTGAAGCAAGTGGTGGGGTTGTCTGAAGTTTGACGGAAGCTCCAGTCTGGTTGGTGCTGTACTGGTTGGGTGGATGAGCCGATAACAAGATGTTTTCATACCCTTTTCCAGTCTTCCCACTTATTGTAGCCAGCCCCTTTCATCCCCATGTACTTTAGGACTCACTGAGCTAGAGAGAGCCCAGTTTTTTCCAGTTTCTCCAACCTGTGCTCCCTTTGGGGAACTGCCTCTAATCTCTGGTGTTCCATGGGCTTGCTAGACCCAGACTTGCCCACACAAGCCCAGCTTCAATCTGATAGACCTGGGCTTCAGATTCTCCATGCTCTGCCTTACTGCAGTCCCAAGATCTCAATGCTGTTTCAGCTTGCAGAGAGATCACCAGGGATGCACTTACACAAAAGAGCGACCCTGCAAAGAGACAGCCAGATAGTAGCCACTAGCACACCTAGCAGAAAGACCTCAAGTGCAATCAGAGCTGCAGGTACCCCAACAATATATTTCTAAGCTCTGGCTGGTGTTCCCAGACTGAGGCGGCTGTACCCCAAGATGGTGGTGGTGGCAGTGACAAACCAACAGGTCTTGGTGGGTGTTCCAGGATGGTGGTGACCGCTTGTAACCAACCTGTGGGTACTGTGACAATGGACTTCCAGAAAGTAGGGGACAGTAGGCAGGGGGCAATCTTCTGGCAGTCTGTGGGTGGTCTGCAGACTAACATCAGGTGATCCACTGGTGGACATCAGGTGGCAGGCGATGGASAGGCAAGAGGCAAGCAAATGGCAGATGATAGGCAGCAGTCAGCAAGGGATCTGTGTTCAAAAGGCAGGCTACATACTGGTACACAATGGGTGATCACAGCAGACAAATGGTGGGTAAACAGCAGGAGATCAATGGACAACAACACTGCCTTGCAGAGAAACAGTATTTCTTCTGTTTGGACGCCCAAGTCACAGAGCAATAAGGAATGCATCTTCCCTCTAGATCGCCATCTTGGATCCTCTCCTCCAATGACATTTTTTACAGAAATAGAAAGAAAAATTCTAAAATTGACACACAAAAGACCTCAAATATCCAAGATAATCTTGGAGAAAAATAAACTAGAGCTATCACAATTCCTAGTATCAAAATATGTTACAAGGATACAGTAATTAAATATTGCCATAAAAATAAACCAACAGAACAGAACAAAGAGCCCAGAAATAAATTCATATGTATATAGTCAACTGATCTTCAACTAAGGTGCCAAGAATACATAAATACATAATGGGAAAAGGATAATCTTTTCATCAAATGGTGTTAAGAAAACTGAATAAACAACAATACAAAATGGTGAAATTAGACTCTTATCTTATACCATAAACAACAGTCATCTCAAAATGGATTGCATGCTTCATTTTAAAACTCCTAGAAGAAAACATAGGGGAAAACTTCCTGATATTGATATTGGCAATGATGTCAATAATCTTGTATATAATACCCAAAACACAGGGAGAAAATGTGTAACTACACAAGTGGGCTACATCAAATTAAAAAGCAGAGAGAAATAGACAATACAATGAAAAGCCAACCCACAGAATGAGAAAAAATATTTTCATAGATCTGATAAGGAGTCAATTTTCAAAATAGAACTCCTGAAATTCAATATTAAAACCACAACCCAATCAACAGATGAGCTAAGAACCCATTCATTGCTTTTTTTTAAGAGTTAGAGAGAGAGAGAGAGAGAGAGAGAGAGAGAGAAAATTTTTTAATATTTATTTTCTAGTTTTCGGCAGACACAACATCTTTGTATGTGGTGCTGAGGATTGAACCTGGGCCGCACGCCTGCCAGGCGAGCACGCCACCGCTTGAGCCACATCCCCAGCCCCCCATTCATTGACTT